TCAAAATTTCACAGAGTTGTCTATTAAAGTTAGACGGTTAACTAGCGGGCCGATAGATATTGTCCCAGCATTTCTTTCATACTTCACATTACTTGAAGTCCTCTAGTTGACAAAAGCACAGCAACCATTTTATTAATACAAGGTGATAAAAGAAATGATTTTGGGGGAGGAATATGTGATTGACAGGAAGTACAATCACTGTAATCTAGACAATATACAAATAAATGAGTTTACACGTATGCAGGACCAAACAGCACCATATTTAACGTAGAGCAGTACTAAAGTAGCTAATTAGACCGTAAACAGTTTTGTGGCACTACATCTGACCTTAGGTCCCAGTGATGTAAGTTCTGTCCCGGAATAACATCAGCTTTTACAAGCCTGTAGTTACACTCTATTTGTTGAACATGAAAAGCATCAAACCTAGCTTTGTTGTTTCTTGGAAATTACTTTTAGTCAGTACATACAGTTCAAAATGTAACCGATTCACTTATTGAACTAAACTACTGATGTGTCCAAACTACCACCAGGGGCTGACAGATTACCTTCAGAAAGACCAGAGTGTTGATGATGCCAGTCAAAATAATTAACAAAATAATTCTAAGAGAACCTCAGATTTTTAATGGAGTACTACCTAATAAAACTATTAAATATGAATAAACTCTAAGTCGTCGCAGATAACTACGTCAATGAAAGAAGTCGAAATGAATGAAAACATCAGGATACTCAGTTGCTGTGACAATCAAGGTTTTTCAAAAAAACCTAAGTGGTTGTGGTAACTGAACTATGAAATTGGCTATCTGAGGTGAAGGCTTTTCTTAGGTAACCAGTTTCACACTAATATCAATGCAACTTACTGTCTTCCTGTTTGAAGGCTAGTCAATAAACCCACACGATTTTCACAAGCTGAAGCACGTTTTACAAATCATCATATTTTCATTATTCATTCTATGAAAAGTCAAACTACTCCTAAATACCTTCGTCTACCAATTCCAATATCTACTGACATAGTCAAAAGAGCAGAATGTAGAGAAGTACGTTTCTTCTAGAATTTGCAGTAGTGCTAATTCCCAATTGATATATTTCCTGCCGAACTTTTTAGTTGTCTCTTATTTTCATACTTAGATTGCTAACTATGCATTGAATAATAGGTAGATTTATGACTCCGAAAGCTGTTTGATTTGGTTCAGCAATTCTGTAACTATAAAAGCGTAACTGCTGACCATATGCTCTTTATAATATTCAATAATCAGAGCCAAAATAATTCAGAAGTAGTGCGACTAAATTAACCATCTTTTATCTCTCTTTAAGACGATTTCATTTCCTTTTGTCTAACTTCAGTTCGAAAAATGATACGCAACGTTCCATCCAAGCAGCAGCTAAATAATGAAGTCTGTAAATTTTAGGCAGTACTGGATGGTCCTTCATGCTATTTTCTTTGCTAGTGAATCGTCTACATAGTCATCACGATAACGCACTATCAACACATTCAAATGTTCACGAAAAAGTGAGAAGATACTTGAAAATTTCTGGTTTCAACTATGCACATACACATTTGAAGATGACACTCAAATAAGCCCAGACAATTCATAGACATAATCTGTAGCACCACAAAATTTCGTAAATTTTCAAGGTAAATTGTTTTGCATCCGTTTATTGTTTTGTCGAGTTTTATAAAAAGGATCGAATTGTTGTAAATTATTTTATTTAGCTAGTTAGTATCAAACACCGATGAATTACATTCATCTAGAATGCGTGTGTGTGAAAATAGGGTATGATCATCTCAGCCAGTTTAATGCTTATTTTAAATGAAACAATGAGATACATGGTCACCCACATTGTTGTTGAACTGGCAAAGACTTTATGCAGTAAATCATACCTTGCGACTTCAATACTGACGCATCTGATTTCATCGTAGAATGAAGGACACTGTGATGGCTTTGGAGGAAATGAAAAATAATGTTTTATTGTCATTACTTCAAGTAGTATGGTTTGCGTTATTGAAAACTGAAGAACTGCTACTGATAAGGTTGGTGGGTACGAAAATTACACTAATCTCTGGTGCTATTTACCTCATCCCTGGTGATCGGACAACAAATACTGGTGAATATATGACGCCATCCATCATTATGTAAAGCCCAGCCTTATTTACTATCGCACAGCTAAAAATACATCAACTCCTTCCGAAACAGCAAAGACACAGTTAGGAAACATTTCTGAAATCCTTTATCAAAATGAGGGCATCCTCCTGTTTCCATTAAGATTCAAACTAATATAAAAGATACGTAAAGCATAAAATGCAGTCGTGCTATTTGGTGATCATATATACTTCCTTCATATTTAATTGATGACGTAAAAATAGTTACCACTGATTAGATAACAACCTATGATTAAATCTAAAACAAAGTACATTCAAAATGTTCAGACTGAACAAAGATATAGAATTAATCAGAAGGGAAGTACAATTATCTATCAAACATACGATATAAGACATTCTAGCCTCACCTGTGTCAATTCAACGTCAATACAGATTTTTCTAATTCACCGTTAACCGCTTTGTTCTTAGTCTATTTTCTGATATTTTACGTAATCTAATATACCTGATCTGTGTGTACAAAAGAAGTATGTGCAGTCATTGTCTTTATCATGGCCATAACATTTTCCCACCCCATTAGCTCCCCCTCCCACTTTGTTAATCTAACCTTTGTATCCTTCCTTTATCATTATTATTGTCATTATAATCGCTTTCACTTTAACTAGTTTCCGGTGTTGTTTCACTTAATTGTCTTAATCCTTTTAGAAAACATTGACTTCATCTTGTCCAACTTATCTAATGCCATTACATAATACTTAATTGATTTACCATTTTCAACA